GATATGATGTGACATGGTAAATTTCCACTTGGTTCACCAAAAAAGGCCCCCACAAGTCCCCAAAAAGCAGTGTTTTCCCTGCATTTTATGAAAGATTTTGGGACTTGTGGGGGCCTTTTTTGGGGGGACCAACCCAAGTGGAAAATTAGCAATGTGACAGGTAAGAAACAGAAAGCAGCTTACAAGCGTGGCAGCCAGCCAAAAAAAAAAATAAAAAAACTTACCATTCTCTTTGTTCCTTGCTTCTCCTTCCTCTAAATATGATTATGATAGATTTATTTTAACTGTCAGTGTGATGCACAGTTTCTCCCTGTTGGATTCTATTGCTATGACTGCTTTTCCATTGAAGTCCTAAGGTATAGTGTCAAATTTTCGAGCTCAAATGGTGTTTGTTCAGTTACGTGGGTGCTTTGTGTATCTCAATCTATTTCTGAGTTTAGGTTGTTACTGTTTTCGGATTTTTCACCTGGGTTGGACTGACCCCACCAAGTGCCACAGAAACTTTTGAAAACCCATGGATTTTTGGTAATTTGGTGGGGCCTGTTTTGAGAGGGCAACCAAAATCAGTTTGGCTACTTACTATTGATGGTTTTCTTGCCATATGGTTTGATAGACTCTGTTCGGAACCAAATCTGGCTGGCCAGATTTGATTCGGTGCTTCTTTTTATGGACTTTGCCTTATTCTAATTCCAGCTGAGGTTGTAAGTACACATAGGGGTACCTATGCAACATGTGTCACATAGTACCCCTTGTTGCTGGCTAGAGTTACTCCGTTGTGCAAGTGCTTGGCTCTGCCCCAGCTTTTCAGAGGTGGTTGCGCCATGTAATGTATTTAACAGTGAAAAAATCCTTTCCCAAAATTTACCCGAAAATAGCACATACTGTATGCCTGAAGATAGCGCAACCCTACATGTACCATCTATCAGACCTTTTCTGGGAGTACTGCCTGTGTAAAAGGGATGTTCTCACCTGTTTTTTCTGATGCTTGCCAAGAGGATAAGAGGGTTGCTTGGGTTGTAACCACTTTGCTTGCATTTCTTTCTTGACCAAAGAACATGGCTGGTGAGAGCGGCAGATGCGGCGTCAAATTGGGCCTTCCCCTCTGGCATGCCCAAAATTTCTTGCCAACTGGCAGCACAAAGGACCCCTGCCATGATAGACAGGCTCTCAGAGGCACCTTTGGTCGTGAGTGCTACATATTCCTTGGGCAAACCTTCGGTCAACTTGGCCATTTCGGAATGAAACTTCGCCATCATTTCAAGTTTCGGTCCCAACTCCTTCAAGTTGATGCGGAGCTCCGCAAAAGTCGGATCTTCTGTCTTCAGCCACTTCACCACTTCTTCCTTCGCTTTTCGCGTCCTTGGTCCAGTGACAACGTGAATTTTCTTACAATTATGAATGGGTTCCGGCTAGAAAAATTATCTGTTAAACATGACCCATCCGCGCGCAAGCTGGCAGCCAACTCTTGTAAAAAAAACTAGCACGCCACCAAGCAATGCTGGCAGCCAGCTCTAATGAAAAATTGGCACGCCACCAAGCAAGCTGGCAGCCAGCTTTCGCAAAAGAGCTGGCACGCCGCCGAGCAAGCTGGCAGCCAGCTCTTTTGAAAAGCTGGCACACAAGCAAGCAAGCTAGCAGCCAACTCTTTCAAAAGACTGGCTTGCCACTGAGCAAGCTGGCAGCCAGCTTTCGCAAAAAAGCTGGCACGCCACCGAGCAAGCTGGCAGCCAGCTCTTTCCAAAAACTGGCACGCCACCGAGCAAGCTGGCAGCCAGCTTTCGCAAAAAAGCTGGCACGGCGGCAAGCAAGCTGGCAGCCAACTCTTTCAAAAGACTGGCACGCCACCGAGCAAGCTGGCAGCCAGCTTTCGCAAAAAAGCTGGCACGCCGGCAAGCAAGCTGGCAGCTAGCTCTTTTGAAAAACTTGCACGCCACCAAGCAAGCTGGCCAGCTTCAACAAAACGTCATGTCCAACACTTTCGAGCTGAGCAGCACATCGGCAAATTCTTCGTAAGCCTTCATGCACTGCTTGTGGAGGTTGTTGTGCATCTCCTAAGTTCTGCAAAAGTCAGCACACCACACCTTCAAGCAAATATTTTCAAAACAATGGCTGAAAAAAACACAGAAGCCTATCCTTCTCCAAACAGCCCATCTTCTGAAGAAGGATGGTTCCGAGCTGACCTCCTTGGCAATGCCCTGGACTCATCAGCTCATTGTTCACATCGCACCATGAGCAAACCCCCATGGTTGGGAGCTTCTGAGTTCCACTTCTGTCAATGTCCAAGGAAGCGAAAACTTTGAAAGTGCTCACCCCATCTTCGGAATCGCACCTGATGTTCATGGGCTCCTTCATCAGCGCTCGCACAGTCACCACAGGTGGCTTGCGGCCATGTTGTCATTGACCGCCCCATGAGCTTCAAACCACTGGCTGAGCGTTTTCATTGAACTTCCCATTGATTGTGTCTCCAACTTGTGAAGGACAGAAAGATTAAGACTGTGTGGAGGTGCCTCTCCTTGCGCCACCTTCAGAATCAAATCTATGCTGCTGTCTACTTCCTTGCACTTCTGGAAAACTCCATGAAGGGTCTTTTCTTGGAGGCTTTCATACCGAGACTCCAACTGGGCAGCCCACTCCTCCACCATCCTTTTCTCCTCTTGAAACGGCATGGGAAGTGTTGAGAGAAGCTGTGACAACCCACAGAATTGCGCCAGGTCAGGGCCATCCTTCCGATTGACTTTGCGGTAAATCTGGACAAACGCTGTTGCAGACTTGTATTGGCCTTGCAGCTTGCGCGTACTTTCCCTTGTCCAACCCCAGTCAGTCACCAAACACAGAGGTGCTGCCTCAGCATCTTCATGTTTGAGTGAATCCATGGCCGCCGTCAGCTCAGTGTCTAAGAAGTCCAAGAAAAAATCCTCTGCAGACGCAAGTTTGCCTGCAAGCTCTAGGTCATGCGGCTCACACATGCGCGCTTTCGCCACCAAGGCAGGCACCACGCTGAAGAGATCCTTTTTCTCCTTTTCACTGATGTGACTTAGCATGCTCAGAACCTCAGCACGTGTGGCTTCCTTCACTTCATCCACGCTCTCTTCAGCCAGCTGCTTCTGCAAGTCTTGCAGGTTTTTCACATGCTTCGCCACCAGCTTCCCCACGCTGCTTTTCGCCTTGCAAATCCACTCCACCGCTTTCTTCGCATCGTCGCTCAAAGCAGTGCCATTTTCCAAGCCCAAGACCGTGAGGAAACCTCGGTGAATCAGCAAAATCAAACTTGGATAAAGCCAAGTCTTTAAATTAAACGAAACCCGTCAGCTTGGTCAAGCTTTATCCGGCCGGGTTTGAGATCAGAGGCAAAGAGATCGAAATCTCGGCCAGATACAGCCAGATTTAATCAGATCAGATCAGATCCAATGAGATCCAAGCAGATCTGGCTAGATCTCAGCCAGATTCAGCCAGTTCCGGCCAGATCCAGCCAGATTTAATCAGATCAGATCCAACAAGATCCAGCCAGATCCGGCCAGAGCCGGCCAGATCCAGCCAGATCCAGCCACATCCATCTAGATCTAGCCAGATCCACCCACATTTAGTCCAATCAGCTCGAAAGAGATCCAACCAGATCCAGCCAGAGCTAACCCAACCAGACCTGGCCAGATCTCAGCCAGATCCAACCAAATCTGGCCAGATCTAAGCCAGACACAGCCTTGTTGAATTAGATCACCCAGCCAGATCCAGCCAGATCTGGCCAGATACAGCCATATTGAATTAGATCAGATCCAGCCAGATCCAGCCAGATCCGGCCAGATCTGGCCAGATCCACCCAGATCTAGCCAGATCCAGCCAGATCCGGCCACTAGCAAGATCTAGCCGCAGATCCAACCAGATTTAATCAGTCGAACGAAATCCAAGCACATCCAGCCAGACCTGACCAGATCCAGCCAGACCTGACCAGATCCAGCCAGATCATAGATACCATTAAATCTAATCAATTCAGATCCAGCCAGATCTAGCCAGATCCAGCCAGATCTTTGCCAAAGCAATTCAGATCCGGCCAAATCCAGCCAGATCTAGCCAGATTCAACCTGATTCATCAGATCAGATCTAACGAGAGCCAACCAGATCCAGCCAGATCCGGCCAGAGCCGGCCAGATCCAGCCAGATCCAGCCACATCCATCTAGATCTAGCCAGATCCACCCACATTTAGTCCAATCAGCTCGAAAGAGATCCAACCAGATCCAGCCAGAGCTAACCCAACCAGATCTGGCCAGATCTCAGCCAGATCCAACCAAATCTGGCCAGATCTAAGCCAGACACAGCCTTGTTGAATTAGATCAGACCCAGCCAGATCCAGCCAGATCTGGCCAGATACAGCCATATTGAATTAGATCAGATCCAGCCAGATCCAGCCAGATCCGGCCAGATCCAGCCAGACCTGACCAGATCCAGCCAGATCTGGCCAGATTTCGGCCAGATACCATTAAATTTAATCAATTCAGATCCAGCCAGATCTAGCCAGATCCAGCCAGATCCAGCGAGATCTTTGCCAAAGCAATTCAGATCCGGCCAAATCCAGCCAGATCTAGCCAGATTCAACCTGATTCATCAGATCAGATCCAACGAGAGCCAACCAGATCCAGCCAGATCCGGCCAGAGCCGGCCAGATCCAGCCAGATCCAGCCACATCCATCTAGATCTAGCCAGATCCACCCACATTTAGTCCAATCAGCTCGAAAGAGATCCAACCAGATCCAGCCAGAGCTAACCCAACCAGATCTGGCCAGATCTCAGCCAGATCCAACCAAATCTGGCCAGATCTAAGCCAGACACAGCCTTATTGAATTAGATCAGACCCAGCCAGATCCAGCCAGATCTGGCCAGATACAGCCATATTGAATTAGATCAGATCCACCCAGATCTAGCCAGATCCAGCCAGATCCGGCCACTAATCCAACCAGATTTAATCAGTCGAACGAAATCCAAGCACATCCAGCCAGATCCAGCAAGATCCAGCCAGACCTGACCAGATCCAGCCAGATCTGGCCAGATTTCGGCCAGATACCATTAAATTTAATCAATTCAGATCCAGCCAGATCTAGCCAGATCCAGCCAGATCTTTGCCAAAGCAATTCAGATCCGGCCAAATCCAGCCAGATCTACCTGATTCATCAGATCAGATCCAACGAGAGCCAACCAGATCCAGCCAGATCCAGCCAGATCTAGCCAGATCCAGCCAGATCTGGCCAGATCCAACCAGATACAACCAGACCCAACCAAATTTAATCAGCCAGATCCGGCCAGATCCAGCCAGATCACAGCCAGATCCAGATCCAGCCAGATCCAGCCAAATGTAATCAGATCAGGCCAGATCCAACCAGATCTAGCTAGATCCAAGCAAATTTAATTAGATCACTTCCAACGAGATCCAACCAGATCCAGCTAAATGATTAGATCTTCTTGGATCTGATGTGAATAGATCTGCCGAATTTGTTGGAATCTGGTTGGTTGGATGGCGCTGGATCTGATCTACTGAAATTTTGTCTGGATGCTAGATCTGGATGGGTCTGGCTGGACCTGGCTGGATGGATCTATAGCCAAGATCTGTCTAGATCGAATCACCGGCTGGACCTCGCGAGATCTGGCTGGATCTGATCTCATTACATCTTGCTGGATCTGGCTGGACCTGGCTCGATTTGATCTCATTAAATCTGATTGGATCTGGCTGGATCTGGCTGAGACTGGCGAGATCTGGCTGGATCTGTCTGATTGCAGCTGGATCAGCTGGCTGTATCTGGCGGAGATCTGGAGCTCGCTGGATTTGATTTGATTAAATCTGGCCGGATCTGGCTAGATCTGATCTGATAAAATCTTGCTGGGTCTGACTGGATCTGATTTGATTAAATCTGGCTGGATCTGGTTAAATCTGGTTTGATATCCAAACAGATCAAAACAGATCGAGCCACCCACTTTCGCTGGCAGATCTAGTCAAGCAGCCAAACAGCGCAGGATGCAAGCCGAACAAAATTCCACACCGCCCCTGTCACACCACCGAGCCACTTTTTGCTGCCATGCTGGCTTCGGGGGAAATGGCTTTGTCAACAAAATCGGTGAGGATCTTTTTTTGTTCCTCGCCCATCTTCACAATCACAGTGAGGAACTTTTCCTCAATGGGCTGGATGCTTTTCGCGTCATCTTTCAAGAAAGCCTGACAAAACCCCAAAAGCAACACAGAAAACAAAGTCATGATGAACAAGTTAGTGGCGCCAAAGAGATGCTGGCGGCAGCCCTATCTAGAAAACAGCGCTCTGACAAGAAAACTGGAAGCAAGCAAGCAAACTAGCAGCCAGCTCCTTGAAAAAACTAGCACATCACGGAGCAAGCTGGCAGCCAGCTTTCTCAAAAGAGCTGGCACGCCACCGAGCAAGCTGGCAGCCAACTTTCGCAAAAAAGTTGCAAAAAACTGGCACGCCACCGAGCAAGCTGGCAGCCAGCTTTTGCAAAAAAGCTGGCACGCCGGCAAGCAAGCTGGCAGCCAGCTCTTTCAAAAAACTGGCACGCCACCGAGCAAGCTGGCAGCCAGCTCTTTCAAAAAACTGGCACGCCACTGAGCAGGCTGGCAGCCAGCTTTCGCATGGCAGCCAGCAAGCAAGCTGGCAACCAACTCTGTCAAAAAAAACGGCACGCAAAGGAACTTTATCAAAAAGCGGGCGCGCCATAAACTCATCAACGTGAGCTTCACAGGCATGGCCTGAATGGAAGGCAGCCACTTCACGCCCTGCTCCAAGTTCTCCGGCTTCTTGTAAGCCATGATCCGAGCAACAAGGACCTGCTTCCACCCGAGTGGGACAGGAAAATAGTCCTGTCAAGGTCAGATGATAGGCCACAGCAAAGCGGCGCAGAAAAACACAATAGAACGACCACAGCACATGAAGTGGCCAAAGCTTGGTGGTAGCCGGCCCGTCCTGCGCCTTGAGCAAATCTTCCGCTGCAGTAGCGCAGCAAGCAAGCTCAAGGCAGCCGGCCATCTTCTCCAAGTCAGGGTGCCCTCCATGTTTCTTCTTCAAGGAACTATACCTGGACCATGACTTGCCCTATACCCCCACATGTTTTCCCTGGCATGCATCATACGTGTATGATCGAACGTTGTGGAACCGCGTTCATAATATGAACATGCTTGCTTTGAGCGAAATGAATCCAGATCACCCCTGCCAGCCCCAACACCAATAAAGAAAATTGAGCAAGCCATGGTGCTGGCCCAAGACTCCAGCAATGTCTTTTTTGCTTGGTGGAATCTGCAACTCGTAGTGGACCCGAATCATCTTGAAAAGGTCTGTCAAGTGAGCAGGAAGATTTTCTGGCATGGGACAAACGTCAGGCTTCTTGGAGTCGGAAACAGGTCCGTTCGCCAGGGGCAAGGGTGCAGCTCTTGAACTGCAAGCCTGACTGGTTTCGGCAAGTTGACCTGGAATGCTCTCAGGGGCTTGGAGATCTAGCCCCAGCGCATCTGCCACCTGATCAACCCCAGCTCCTTCCACAGACCTTGACTGCACCACTTGCTTAGCTTCTTGCCAACTGACTCTGCAAATTGCCTTCAATGGCAACATAGGCTCTGTAGCTCTTCGGAAATGTCCTTCCCGCAGCACCCTTCAAACTTGTAAAGGCTGATAGCGACGTCTGGGCCAAAGAGAACCCGAGCACTGTCCACTTCCCAGAAGTCAAACTCCGGTCCCTTGGCTGTGAACCTTTGCGCTGTCACATGCTTTTGGTGATGAAAGTTGCAAGTAAGCTGGCACGCTACAAGATTAGCAGATGAACATGTTTTGGTACTTGGTTGATTGCAACACTGTTCGTAGTCCAACGAAAGATGGGGAAAGTGGCGGGAGCCAGCTTCCATGCGTGTAAGTTACCTGACCCAGCAACCAAGCGTACCCAATTCCCAGGAGCCAGCGTTCGAGCCACACGGCCCTACTTGCAAGGCAGCTGGGTCGTTGGGCCGCCGAGCCACCAGTTCCAGGCCCCCACACAACATAGTCAGCTGCCGTCCCAGCCCAATAGGATACACGCCGCGACGATGCTGGCATGGACAGCAATGGTGTAGTAGCAGTAGCAGCCAATGGTTAGCAAGCATGCTTGATTCCAGATGGCCAGACGAGTGGCAAAGGGATATGTTTTGGTAATCTTAATCTTTTTCCGTGTGGTTGATTGCAGGTCAGCTGGCAGGCCACAAAATTAGTAGATGGACATGTTTTGGTAGTTGGCCGGTTAGGTGCAACACTGTTCGTAGTCCAACGAAGGAGGGGAAAGTGGCGGGAGCCAGCTTCCATGCGTGTAAGTTACCTGACCCAGCAACCAAGCGTACCCAATTCCCAGGAGCCAGCGTTCGAGCCACACGGCCCTACTTGCAAGGCAGCTGGGTCGTTGGGCCACCAAGCCACCAGTTCCAGGCCCCCACACAGCAGTGGTCAGCTGCCATCCCAGCTGGACAGGATGTGCGTCGACAAATGGCACGGACAATGCAGAAGTTTGAGAAGCAACAGTAGCACTAGCAGCTCATAGCTAGCAGGCAAGCTTGGTTCCAGATGTTTCATGATTGCACGGTGCTCCTGAATCAGGAAAGCATGAATGACAGCAGCAACAGCAGGAGCAAGGGAGTCTTGACAGCATATTTTACTTGTGCCCAATACTCATGCATATGACCTGGTAGGTCTCCACAAAAAAAAAGAAAGCAGCGCCTCCCACCCAAAGCAGGTTGACACCTTTTCACTCACGCAATGCTGTTGGTTGAACATGGTACTCACGGGACTATCTATGGCATGCACCTTGTAAACTTCATGGTTCAAAATCTCTCTATGCTTGTTTTGAGGCGCTTTGTCCGATCTATTGAAAATGGGTTTTGGATTGGATCTATTTAGGGTTCATGTCAACTTGGTTTTCGATCTGTGACCAAAAAACATGTAGGTTGGGCGAAGGTTCCTCCTTCCTTCCTTGCTTGCTTCCTTCCTTCCATCCTTCCATCCTTCCTTTGTTCCTTCCTTCCTTCCTTCCTTCCGCCCTTCCTTCCTTTACTGAAACCCAGAAAAACAGAAAAAAAACAAAACAGAACGGGACAAATAAAAAAAAACGCGCTCCAATCATTCATCAGAAACATCACACCGGGAAAATTAAACGTTGGGGAACGCACTTGCAGTAACTGCATGTGATTATATCTCAAAAGTGATACCTGCGGTTGAAACCCAAAAAATATTGAAAGGATCACGATAAGACAGGACAGGACAAGAAAGGAACGAACATGAAAGGAAATTAATGGATTTATCACCAAGCAAGCTGGCAGCCAGCTTTCTCAAAAAAGCTAGCACACAAGCAAGCTGGCAGCCAGCTCTTTCAAAAAACTGGCACGCCACTAAGCAAGCTGGCAGCCAGCTTTCGCAAAAGAGCTGGCACGCCGCCGAGCAAGCTGGCAGCCAGCTCTTTTGAAAAGCTGGCACACAAGCAAGCAAGCTGGCAGCCAACTCTTTCAAAAGACTGGCTTGCCACCGAGCAAGCTGGCAGCCAGCTTTCGCAAAAAAGCTGGCACGCCACTGAGCAAGCTGGCAGCCAGCTCTTTCCAAAAAAGCTGGCACGCCGGCAAGCAAGCTGGCAGCCAACTCTTTCAAAAAACTGGCACGCCACTGAGCAAGCTGGCAGCCAGATTTCTCAAAAAAGCTGGCATGCCGGCAAGCAAGCTGGCATGCAGCTCTTTCAAAAGACTGGCACGCCACACCGAGCTAGCTGGCGCAGAGCACATTTCCAAGTCAAAAGTGTTTAAAAGCCAAAGGGTTTGAAGCACTTTTTGACGTTAAGATGTCCTTTCCAGAAAGATAGATGGATACATAGATAGGCAGGCAGATAGATTAGACTAGATTATGTCAGATTAGATTGCATTAGATTGGATTGGATTAGATTAGATTAGATCAGATTTGATTTAGATTGGATCAGATAAGATTAGATCAGATTAGATTACGGAAGATTAGAATACGATTAGATGAAATTAGATTAGGTTAGCCAGATAGATAGGAAGATAGCTAGATAGATAGATAGATAGATAGATAGATAGCTCGATAAAATAAAAGATAGCTAGATAAATAGATAAATGGATTGTTAGATGGGTAGCTAGCTACATAGATAGATAGATAGACAGATAGACAGATAGATACTTAGATTGTGAAATGTCTGTTGTGGTTTTCATGGCTGCAGCACATCTTGACCTGGAAAAATCAACAATTTGATACACCCAGATCTGGCTACAAGGCCGTACAGAAACCATATGGTAGAAAACCTGCAAACTTACTATTTGGTACGCTTTTTGGCTTAATTTTCGGATCTGTGACCGTGAAGGTTTAGGAGACGCATTTGAAGAAGTGTTGCAACACCTGCCAGTCTCAAACCAGGAGTGCCGCAAACGCGGCCTCAGTTGCCAATGGGCTTCGCTGAAGTTGTCCAACTGTGGCTTACCCGTGGGGCCCTGAGATTTTCAGCACCGTGCATCAGCCAGCTTTTGTTCAAGACATTGGTAACTTCAGACTTGAAGTTATTGAGAAATTGCGCAGGCAGGAAGAGGACGAGTCTTTCTGCTGTGCGCCAACCGCAAGAGCAAGTTGTGGGAGGCAAGGCGCTCCCATCATTCCCATTGGGTTACAGGTGCATTTTTTTAAAATGCGCTGTTGGGTGAGCAGATCCCTGCTCGGCAAACCGTGCTGCAGGACTACCAATGCTTGGCTGCTGCTGACCACTGCGTGGCCGAGTGGAACTCTTTGAACGCAAAGCCCATGCACACTTGGCTGAATCCTAGCCAGAAATCTGGGCATTCTGGCCGCCTCAAGATGCTTGGCAATTCCGTTGTTCCAGCCCAAGCAAAGCTGGCTTTTGAAACTTTGTTGGGCCTCCACCGTCGCGCACGTGAAAGTGCCTTTGACGATGAGGCTTGAAGTGATGCCCCTCAGTCTTTTCCAAGATGAATGCTGTTGCGTTCAAGTCGGGACTTGCCATTTTCAAATGTGGGCCAGCATGGCCATGTCGTGTGAACTTTTTTGGAGGAGACAGCGTGGCCGTACTTAATTTGTTTCTGCTTCCTTCCTTCTCGGACAAGAGAAGTAGTGTTCAATTAAAATTCAAACTGTTTCAGATGATACCTGTCGCGATGCAAAACTTTTGGGGGGAATCATGTTGTTAGCTTCAGCCCGCAGGGGGCAGTGATTGCAAGCGTGACTGTGAAACGCCGAGTTTCAATCAACCGAATGCCTCCATCAGAGCTTATTTTGGATTCCAGGGTAATAGGGTCTCGGTGGTGAGAAGTTCGCCATGCCGCGGTTAAGTGAGCAGAGCGCCTCTTGACCTTCGATGTCCATTTGCTGCCACTTTCAAAGCGAGCTGCCAGGACAATCCGTGATTTCTGCTCAGTGTTTTGGTCAGACAACACCCTGCTGCCTATAGTCCATTTTCTTTGGCGCTGGCTACAGCATGTGATACTCTTCTGACATTGAAGAGTGAGTTCAAATGACAGCTGTTTTGTGGCTAGCAACCGTGCACCTTGCAGGAGATGATTTCACACGGTTATGTTGGTGCACCCGGCTGTTTCGCGGTTGGCTGGGTACAATCGGAAGGAGACTGAGATTGTGAGTTGGGGGAGGAAATAGTTGAACATTCAGAAGACCTTTAACTTGGTGAATCAAGATATGTAACCAGTTGATTCTTATCAACGATTGACGTCGTTGCTCCCAGGGGGGTTGCTTCATTTTGCAAGCTAAAGTCATGTGGTGCAAAGAGCCGGGCCACAGAAGAGCAGAAAATGGTCCTGAGAGAAGTTACATTAACCATCTTGTAAAACATCTTTAAGGCTTAACAACTGTGTACTTGGCATGCCTTCAAGACCAAAGAACAAGAACCGAGGACCACCTTCGGCATTTACATCAAGACGAGTTTGGTCGCTTCATCTCACTGCTACCCGGGGTGCAGGCTGGTTAGGGACACGGTTGTTCGACCACTTGGTTTTGCATGGTTTTGCCATGTATTGCGTTCTCACTTTTTTTGCTGCGAGCTGGTACCAGTAATCCATCAAGATGCCGGAATCAATGTGCCAACTTGAACTCAGGCTCGCCAGAGATTTGTGAGAACCACCACAAGTGTGGTTTGTCCGTCCGTCTTTTATTTGTGACTGGAGACAATGACTATCATTCCAGCCTGAGAAATCATGGATAATTACACCTGATGCCGTTGGCTGACTCACCCGCAGGCAACTATATTCATAAGTCGCTAGCCTTGGTAGTGCCTAGAGCTAGGCACTGGCTAGAGCCCCCACATGGATGCGACATGGCAATTTTTGGAGAAATGCGCTGACAAGGGCCGGACTTTCAAAGTTAGTGCGGTTTTTGATGGTAAACGCTAGCAGCCGAGCTTTGTTCTGCAGCCACACTTTCTCTATCAGATTTGCTGGCCAACTCCTACTCAGGATCTGAGCGCGTTGAGTATATTGCTGTTTTTTTAAAGTCAACAAGCGATTATCGTATGATGCGAGTTGCTGTTAGTAGGCAGGCCGCATTCAAAGAGTGGTTAGTACAGAGGTTTGAAGTGAATGAACCAGGTAATTAACCAGTTAGAGCTGAGCGGGAGTCAGCCGTGATGCCAAAAACCGATGCCGTGTGCAGCTTGAGCTCGGAATCCGAACATGAGGCCAGGGAAGTGCCAGCAACTCCAAAGGAGTCCCAAGGCCACCCTGCAAAGAAACGCAAGGTTGCCCAACGACCTGACCCAGTCGACAAGGTTTCTGAGTTGTACCTTAGATCGCTGCTCGGGAAGCAGTGCACATGCAGCAAGAAGACTTGCCTGCAGCAGTTCATTGAGCCGGAGTTGTTTAAGAGGCTGATGTCTTATCGAGAACATTGGTTTGATTTGGGGAAGCTTGACCAAGATGCCTTCGTACCTCGGCCGATTTTTTGCCGTTGAATCTTCGAAACCTCTTTCAACTCTCTCCCGTCAAGTTGCCCTTTGTAGCAGTTTTCCCGTTGGCTTGCCACCGTGGGGGAGTCCTTTTTAGGTGTCTTTGGCTTTTTGGGCAAGCCAACGGGAAAATTTATTACAAGCCCTTTGCAGTGAACATGTCTGACATTTAATTACTTGTTTCCTTTCTTCTTCCAAATTCAATCGGCCATGATCACCATTTACATTGTGATTATTGCTCCAGCCCTTTCCAAATCTTGAGCCGCTAATTATTATAGACAATTTTTTCAGTTAGTATTCATTGTGTCAATCACTTTGGGAAGTTGTCTAGGGCCTGTCGCTGTCCTGCCTGGGGGTGGGAGCTGACTCGTCTTAGCCCCTTTTATTTGCCAAATTTCTTGCTGTGCAGGCTTTTGACTGCATGAAGCTGATGATTACTGATTCTGGAGCCGAAGATGATGCTCCGATCATTTGGTATCTGGATGGTGTTCGCACATGTCGCCGAGCTTGGAAAACTTTGCACAGCATGGGCCTCTTGTCTCTCTCTGCATACTATAACTTTTTTCGCATGGAAGTATAAAGGCGGATTGGTCATCCCCTTGAGTCGTTGAGTGTGGTTGACATGTTTTTAAAGCCCCGGGATTTGGATGTCAGGTTCCAAGCGTTGCACGAATCTGTTCAACGCTGCGAGAAAAGGCGCAGCCTCCGCTCCGGTTGACCTTCGGTTCTTGAAGAAACCAAGAGCGCACACCATGATGGACTTTCAGAGTGTGAGAGCTGATTGCGTCTCGTATTTGAGCTCAATCTACGAGTCCGTTGCTGAAGTCATTCCAGATGTCAGGGACTCTGACGCACCTGCTGATGATGAAGGAGCAAACGCTGGCCAAGTCATTTTGGACGCCTATGAGATTGAGTTGCACAAGAACATGGATGATGCCCCCGCAGATTTGCCACCCAGAGCCCACCCACCTCCGAAGAAGAAAAAGGTCCACACGAAACGGCGAGGTGTAGAGATGAATCCTGACCGTTTAAGTTCACTGGAGGAATGTGAATCCCATGAAGTACGCTTCCTCCCGCCCGGTTCCATGAAGCAGTTCTGGGAGCAGTACAAGCTTGTGTCCAACTTGGAGAAGCCTGCTGCTTTTCCGACCTTCTGGAAGGTGATTTGGATACATTTTTTGCCCCAACATATTTTGTGGCATTTATAACAATTTCTGGTGGTTGCTTCTGAAGATATTAACAATAAGACCGCGCGCGCCATGATACAATAATATTTGATACTTAGACAACCAAAAACAACGCGAAACAAATTCATATTATGCGAGCGACCCGGCGCCCTGATGGTTCCGCAAGGCTCCGTGTTGAGGTTCCGGACTGAATTATTGGGTTCCAGTCTCGTGAGTTCTGGGCATCGGAGATGCTGATGGGTTCCAAGTCTCTGATTACACGATTCACGCGTCTCTCCACTCTCTGCCGGTTCCAAAGTTCCGCCGCTCCAAGGTTCCACCAGGTACCAAAAGCATTCATGAAGGGTTCCAGTTCAAGGCTTGGTTCCAATATGATTTCCGAATTCCAAGGTTCCGCAAAATTGGGTTCCAGTATGATTTCCGAATTCCACGGATTAAACCTTTAGTGCCTGAGGTGTGGCTATCTGAGTTTCCATTCCTGCGGATCCGTCAAGACGGGCAACATTCAATTTGCCAGATTTGCGTGAAACATCAGACCATGATACGCGGCCTTGGTCATCACCTCGGGGCCCGCAAAGCCCAACTTCTTCTTTTCCATCAACACCTCCGTGCCCAATATTCTGATCGCATGCTATACTGGGAAGCGCGTGGAATGTCAAGGTTGCGAGGTCATACCGTTTGCATCATTTGCGACGGTATGGACCAAAGCAAATGGGACCTACCGCGATCTCGCATTTTAAAAGGCAAAGACTTCTCCAACATGCAGCGAGTCAAAATGCATGTGACCGGGTGCATCGCACACGGTCATTGTTGTATGGTGGCAGTGTCCGCACCGGACACAAAAAAGGATGGGAACGCATCCGTGGAGATTTTGGCACACATGTTCACGCACCTGCAGCAAAGAGGTGTCCCGCTGTCGCAGACTCATGTCATTTTACAACATGACAACACATGCAGAGAGTTCAAAAATCACAGTGGACTACGGTTCTGTGCAAGCCAAATATCCTCCAAAAACCTCATGGGTGTGACCTGTTCTTTTTTAAGAACAGGTCACACCCATGAGGATATCGATCAGATGTTTTCAAGGATGTCAAAGCACCTTCAACGAGTACCTGTCCTGCAGACCCCGGATGATGTGTGCAACACCATCAACGATTTTTTGCAGCAGGCGCACATGCCCCACGAGAAGGACAGGAGAGTCATCAGAATGGATACAGTGCGAGACTGGTGACTTGGGCACTGCTTTGAATTTCTTTATCTATCTCCTTTTGCCGCGAAGCACCCCAATAGTTTTTTGCCTAACAGCACGCGCCAAAAGCTCGGGGATTTGTCAGACAGAAATCTTCCACTGATTGTTTACAACATGTTGTGCCAAATCCAAACCAGAATGGTTATTTCATTGAGTGCCATAAAATTTTGCACAGATTTTGGCCGTTGGTGGACAAATCCCAGGTCGGGGTTTTTGGCAGCCGGTGTTCCTTTCCGATTGAAAGGAATTGGAGGAAGTGGAGCACCTCATTATTTTCGCATGGAGCGACGTGCAGAATCTGGCACCTATCTGTTGCAAACCCAGTGACCATTTTCCCCAAATGTAATGAGCGAGATCAGTCGCTAACAGGGAAGTTTCCATCCAACAAGTTACACCCAGAGTAATTGGTTTGAAATTTGATTACGGCACCTATTTCTTGGGATCATCGTACAATCCGTACAATGGCAATCATAGCAGTCTGGCAGTGAATTTACTGATGGCAGCATTCAAGTCATAGTGTCCATCCACCGGTCGCTTTCTCGATGCTTTTCACAACACCGTGGATATTTGATTTCATGAACCGGGCTCAGGTATTGAGGCCAGAGAGATTACTTCGACTTTGTGGGACTACCCGGAGCACCCTGACGATGTGATCCTAAGGACTGGATTTGTTCAGCGTTTCTTTAATAACCAGGGCCAGCTGTCAGTCCCCAAAGCGTAGTGGTGGACCTTGTCAGAACCTTAAGGACCAAACGATACATGGCCGACAAAGCATTTGCAGACACGGTCCTGTTGTATCCTCGGCACCTGGCTCTCGACCGTCTTTCAGTTGGGCTTCCTGCAGGCCAGTATTTGGTTTAAATTGAGCCTTGCATTCCAATTAATTGTTGCACCACTAGGCATCACGGGATCCGCCACAGGATTCATCACAGGATCCAACATAAAACCTGACCCATGGCAAGGTGTTGCTGACAAGCGTGCAATCTCTGCTGACCAGCGGAAACACCTTGAGAAATATCTGCCAGCCCTCCGGTTTCCACCCTACCAGCTTTCTAGATCTGCAGATTGGATAGAATCGTGGTTGGACGGCAGTTGGGAGCGCTCGCCCTTGCTTGATGTCAGAGCGTGCCACGTTTTGTGACCTAGACTTTTGCCGTTTTCAAAGCACCTTTGTTGATTACCCACAATATGTTTCCACATGGGGGCATTGATCTTTCTTTTGGTCAGGGGCCTTGAACTTCTTAGGTGCATGATCACCCCGGGCCCACAACAACTTGGAAGTGCTTCTAGAGCCCAGACGGATGCATTCTACATTGAGCCCAATATCTTGAAGTTTCTGGTGCACTTGGGCCGGGTGTGTTTGGATTGGGTTTCCCCTTTCCCTGCCAAGTGAGGGTGTGTAGTGTAGTTTGAGTCTGGTTGCATTGTTTCCATTCTTGTTCATGCGCATTGGAGACCGAGCAGAAATTGAAAGGCAAGCTCAGGGCCTACCCGACCCGAACAGAATGGCGAGCTTGCAAGCTCTCTGGGCCACGCTGGACCTGAACCCTATTCAAACCTCGCCAGCTTTCTGGGCCTCTCCGGACCCGAGCAATGAAATTTGCAGTAATTAGTAATTATTATTGAAAATAATTCTTTGAGCCGTTAGTCAGGCCCAGCGCTTTTACTCGTCAATAGTCTTACCTTCAAGTCAAAAACAAATGGCAAAATAAAATGGTGACTCACTCATTAAATAGATTTGTAACCAAAAGGAATCAACATCATGCACTACATCATGTAAAATGTAAAATAGACTGTCGGACTACATGTTAGAAACCATGATGTTGTCAGAATATATGTCAAATGTGGCAGTTGGTTGCCAAACAACATGATCTCAGGTTGTATGCCAAATCATAATTTAATGCGCAATATTCAATATTAATCTATGTTCCATTCATACCAAAAAATAACTATCTCTTGCGAGATAGAGCGCTCGATTAAATAACAAATGCAATGCATTTTTATAATGTTGCAGATAGACCTTAGGGTTGAAAATGTTCGTGTTCATTGCTAAAAAGTAGGGAAATGTTCACCAAAATTTATTGTCCTAAAAAAAACTTTTCACCAATCACTGAACCTTTAAAGTTCATGTTAAAAATTAAGTTGAATCTTCAAATTAGATAAATTTTAAATTTGTCCGTAGCAATCTGTGTTTGTCTAATGGGACCAATGATTATTGCAACTGAAATTCGAATAGTTACTGTACCTGAATCAAACATTGGAAAAACGCTAAGCAATTTTGTTTCCGAATGTCAGATAAAATGCCCGTTGGTGGGGATTACGCGAAGTAATATCCTTGCAGCTTAACTTGGAAACCCCCAGCATGTTGGTTTGGAAAATGCTTGCTTCCCATACGAAAGCAACCAAATGCTAGAATTGGAATTTGCAAAGTCTTTTTTGTTCAGTCATGATTGAGCCTTTCTGACTTTTTGAGCTTAGCAATCAGCCGAGGTTGGTGAATCCAAACGCTGATGACGCAAAGGTTGTGGCTTCTTATGTGAAGCGTGCGCGTGTGAGAATCACTCACCAAGCTGCAGCAAAAGCTTGGGCTCACGGTGTGCCGTGGGCTGAAGCTCTCAGGGTGGCAACCAAAGCTGTGGCCGCAGGAAAGGCAGTTGCCAAGAAACCTTTGGCCACCAAAAAACGTGGGGGCAAAGGTAAAGGCAAGGGAAAATGACGATGTTGCTTTTAGGTTGCCTTCATTTTTTTAATCCACAATCGTTTTCCGAAAGGAATTTGGGAAATTCGAAATATCAAACATAAGTTGTCGGCATCCTAAACCCTAAACCCTATGGCATTTAGGGTGCGGCAGCGTAAGTTACGGGGGGTTGCTTTGGAAATTAAATTAGGATCAGTCACTCAGCACTAGGTTTCAAAGAGGCTCTGGAAGTGTTGGATCACAGCTATGATCCAACACTTCCACTGCGTTGTGTGAGAAATATCTTCAAAGTAAAACTGCAACACTTACCACACCTAAGCTCCACCTAACCTGAAGTGTTGGATCACAGGTTTGATCCAACACTTCGAGCCCTTCCCCCGGCCAGTGCTTGAAGTGACGGATCCCGACAACATTCAACACTTCGAGCCTGTTTTTGCAAAGCCCTTTGGAGTGTTGGATTTTCTCTGCATTATTTGGGTTGAAGTGACGGATTTACTCTGCAATTGTTTGGGTTGAAGTGACGGATTTACTCTGCATTTGTTTGGGTTGAAGTGACGGATTTACTCTACATTATTTTGAGTTGAAGTGACGGATTTACTCTGATTTTTTTTGGGTTGAAGTGACGGAGTTACTCTACATTATTTTGAGTTGAAGTGACGGATTAACTCTGATTTTTTTTTGGATTGAAGTGACGGATTTGTTTTGCATGTTTCTGAGTTGAAGTGACGGATTTTACTGTTTATCTTTCAGGAATGGATTTTCACATCTCGGAGCTCCAAGTTTCTCAGGGGTGGATCTTCATATCTTAGAACCTCTAGGGTTGTCCAGGGATATATTTGGACGAAGTGTTTGATGTTAGCGGAATCCGTCACTTCCGGCCACGATGTTGCAAACAAAATCCAACACTTCCGGTCAAGATGTTGCAAACAAAATCCGTCACTTCCGGCCAAGATGTTGCAAACAAAATCCGTCACTTCCGGTTCAGGTGTTGCAGAGAGAATCCGTCACTTCCGGTCAACCTGTTGCAAACAAAATCCATTACTTCCAATCAGGTGGTTGCAAAGAAAATCCGTCATTGAGTCATTTCGTTCAACCAAGTTTTATGCAGGCAAAATGCTACTTTGTTCACTCGGATTGCAATCAGGGGTGCAAAGCAAAAGTCTTTACTGGCAAAGCGTTTGTAACTGCTGTTTCCAGATAATCTTTAACTGTTACTGCTGAATGTCCCAGTTTCCATTGCCAATGCAAAATGACAGCCACTGGACTCCCGCAGTTTGCTGCCCGTTTGGAAGATTACCGTTTGGCTGCGCCGGATGTGGATGAAAGTGATGTGTGTAAGGTTGCAAGTGCTATTGCGCTCTCTGCTTAATGTTGTTTGATGATCCTTTGATGGATGGCGCAGCCAGAGACCGATCTGCTGTGTGTTTCACAAGTCTTGGTAGTAGGCCTGCAAGCCAACTAAGTTCAGATTATTATGCACTAAGTTTAAGATGGTCTTTTTTATGTGACAGTGACGGTGAGCGTTTTGTAAAGATCTATCAGCTATAGTTTTGACATGTTTTGATAGTTTTTCTTGTGAGATGTTAAAAACGAACTACAGGCACTTCAATGGCAATGCGCCATTTTCATTTTTTGTAGCCGTCATCGAACAACGCCAAGGGATTCTTTAGAGCAGCCAATGCGTTTTTCATAGGATAAAACATGATCATGTCAAATTACACACAAGACCAAAGCAAAGCCGAAGGGATGTGCTGTCTATTCGAAGATATCCACCACAGAAACAACAGACAACCCAGGCAAAATAACGTCTTAACTTACATAGCGCGTCAAGAACAAAATGGTCACAGACACAAACCACATAGCACTTCAAGACGAAACTAGTCATAGGAGACTAGCGCCAAGTTAAGATATTTTTTGAATTATCTGAACATTGGCAAGCCAAATGCACCAAGTCAATATCCACAAAGGATATCGTAATGCAGCGCCCGAGCTTTGCGTCTCATCAAGGCTGCGTGTTTCACCGGCAAGATTGGAATTAGTTTTAATGTTATTAACTTTGTCAAATTTAAAGCTGCGCTATGATATGTTTAATATGCTGCCAAGTTGTCATGCTGTGGTTTTGATTTTAAAGTGATGGAATCCAACTGATGGCAAAGAGGCTTTCTTGCCGTATTGGTTCACCAATGTACAGCACTCTTTAGTTTATTTCGAGGCTGTTGAAATCTGTAAAACAAAGAGTGTTTCATGGATCGCTTTTCCAGTTGGGTTCAAACGCCCAAAGTTTCGCAGCCTGTTTTTGAGGACAGACAGTTTTCCCAATGTTTCACAGTAGTTGAGAGGCGACGCTCTGTGAAAAGTTCTTGGCCGTCTCGGCGCAACACACCACGTGGCATAATAAATCATATCTTAATTTCATTACCAAACTTAGCAGTGTTTTTCAGCAGCAGCCAAGAAAGTTCAAAGAGAAAACTTGTAGACATTCAGTGCTGATGCCGGCGAAACGAAAGTCCCAGGGAGGTGGTGCGGAGAGCGCAGCTAAGACTCCCAGGCCGAATACCAAACGCTTGCCAGCTGACCAACTGGCGCAACAGCCTTGGATCCCTCAGCTCACGAACTGGTTTTTTGGCTTTGTGTGAGGGGTGGTGTGACTTCAGCCCCGGTGCCAACATGATCTGTCGTTGTTTCACATTTACCACGCACCTTGCTGAATGAGAGTCAGTAGTTAGCCAAGTTAGTGTCTGAATGACTTCAGGTTTGAAACCACCGTCTTACCAGAAGGCGGTCCAGACATGTACTTGAGTAAGATCTACGACACGAAGGCCCTCCACCTGGGCGGTATCTGTTTTTTTTTCGTAGTTTTCAAAAATGACATTGTACCATTTCTATAGCATCCGGAAGTTTCATTCATGCCTGTCGTAATACTAGGCGCAGCATGTTGGAGGATTGAAAAGATGTGAAGCCATATCCTTCCCGGGTAGTTTACAAGGTTTCTGCATTGTTGTTCCCCATGCGTGAGGAGAAGCAGATGGAATTTGCCCAGTGGCTCAACGACTTTTGCCCACCCGACCCAGGGTTGGGATCCAAGCATCATCTGTGAGAACACCTGCTATCAAATGAAATTGACGAAGTAACCGGTTAGCAAGTGGGAACAGGGTTGATTCGACCCAAGGTTGAACTATGCGACGTCTTTTGCAGGCCCAACCCATTTGCGGCCATACATGCTTTCGTGGAGGGCTGATTCGGGGTGCAGCGGGTTCATTGAGCCCGAAATCGGTGTTTTCATCATGGAGCTTCTGGCCAGCGAAGGGTGCTCGGCTTAGATTTTTTGGTGGGCCCTTGATCGTGTTTTGATCTAAGACCATGTTTGCAAATGTCCGCCTTAAGCCTTATCATGTGCCAATCGCTGGCCGAGATTCCTGAGCGACCCAAACATGCCTGGTTGCAAGAAACTTTCTTGCACACAGATCCCGACAGAGTTTTTGTCTTCGGAGTACACAGAGCTCCCGAGTTTCCCTGGCGCCTCGGTCTGAAATTTGCTGCCCAGACATTGTTACGATGCTCAGTTTTACCGGCGGTCTTGTGAAGTCAGAATCAAAGTTCGAAGCAAAAGACTTGTTGACCATCCATTTCGCGCAATTGACTCCCAGGAACGCAATTCATCCCTTGCTTTTCTGCCGGGTATGTGAAGGGATGGAAGCGCGCCGTGATGTTACTCATCACTGCCCATGGTGTCAAAGAGTTGGACCTCGGCCATCACATTGTACACCATGTGAAAGTTTCTAGCCTTGAGATTGATCATTGAAATTTGGCGGTCTTGACTTGAAGAATGTAGCAGCATCAAATTAGAGCCAATCAGTTTAAAATAGTTTCCTGATGATGGAGGCTAGCTGGGGCACTCTCCATGCAAGCTTTTCGGACAGCATGGACGTGCGTGCCCAGGTGCACGCAAACAGAGGCGCTTTCCATCCCCTTGCTAAATTCTTCAATTCTTGAGAGTGCCATCGTTTTATGGTTTGAGAATCAAATGCGGAAAATTGGTCATGGTCGTGGCTAACTTGAAAGGCTCTTCCTTCATCGAAGATGCGACGGCCACAAGGCCGAACTGCTTTGCACTGCGCAGACAGGTGATGATTTTACAAAAGGCTGGGGGAGGCAGCGCTGAGCGACAAGCTGCTGAAACTAGATGCAAAAAAGGAAGTGGTGTGTTCAGATTTGGCTTCGCGACCTATGGCTTCCTTACACTAAATATATGATACTTAGCATAGAGCATGTGAATCTCCCTTGCCCATCTCCTACAGTTTCTTTGCAGCGCCTCCATTACTTCTTGGTAGGACATGATCTTGATGGTTGCACTGTGTAAGTAGTTTTCAGGCAAAACATGTCCCCGCCAACCCAAGGAGTGGCACTCCGCGAATTCAATGGCTCGGGCTCTTCAACTCGGTCGTTCCGAAGCAGCTGCAGTGAACAACTTGGTGCACAAGGTGGCTCCGGAGGCAGTGACTTTCTTGGAGAACAGTGTGAAGCGCCGAGGCATGTTGAAGTACATGTCCCACGACGTCATCGGGAGGGATTTGCTGAATGAAGGCTACACCAGCGGGGTGGGCATCCTGGAGCCGTGGAAAGATGAACTACGCAACGACGGCGGGCAGAAGCTGGTGACCCACGAGGAGTTTCAGGAGCTTTTTTTTTTTGGCAATTGTTTGCTAGGCATCTACTTCAAAAAAAACGATTTAAATTGCAGGGGCAATAATCTGGCAATGACCATGCAAGTCTGTTGATTCTTCAGCCTTCCTTCGGTCAGGGGGGTTTTATTGACGACAAATCTTATCACATTCTGGCTCGGTTAACCTCTCGTCCTCTATATTTATCCTCACTCAAACCATGAAAATTTCTTCCTTGGCCCAGCTCTTTGCCGTCAGGGTCAGTCAGTCAAGCAGTCAGTCAATCAATGTTTAAAAAGGGGCCGCCAAAGGGGCCCCTTTAACAGCAGCACCTCAACGCATGCTTCACCATCAGGCACAGGCAGCAGCCTATAGACTTGAATTTTCGGCTGCATGCGGCGCAAGGCCACAGAGCCAGCGCATTTGCTTTAAACTGGTGTCACTTGTTTCCTTGACGGCTTTGCTTTGTCCCTGTCTTCCTTTACGCGGCTCTGTTCTTCACCAGCTTTGTGCATGAAAAACTTTCAGGTCAGAGTTTACACAGGACAGGAAATAGTAGAGGTCCAGGTCCTAAAAGGAGTATTGTCCAGCCATGAAATAGGAATACTTGAGTCAGGCAGCCAATCAACGAAGTATGTAATAATCATTAAGGCACACTTAGACTAATCACGACCTTTGGCCATTGGTTCTTGTTCCGGCGTTTTCAGCGGTCAATCCACACACTGTTCATTGACTATCCAGGTCATGTTGTTCTTGCGTCGCTTGGAGACTGACCACGACCGCACACCGCCCTCGCTGAGAAGGAGTGTCACTGAGAAGCAAGCTATTGCTAAACACCAGGCTTGTGCATGCTTCTTACACTTTTTGAATGTCTTCGAGCGCGCGTGCCCCCCCACTGAATACCCTGAAGCTGCGGAATCCCTCACAAGCCAGTTCATGTCTGGTTACCTTGATCCAGATTTGGGGCACATCCTGGAGACTTCAGTGCCCCCGGGTGATCTTGCAGCTGTGGCTGCATTCAGGCCGGGGCCTTCCAACACAATTACCCAAAGTTTCAGCATGAATTTCTGCCTGTCCCTATTTCTGTTTCTGGCAGATACACCGTGCGAAAATTTCATTTTCTGCTTTTTAGCGTAGATGATAAGAAATTTCGTCCCCTGGGTATTGAAAAGATTCAGGCCATTCGTGGCCAAGATCGAGAAGATGACCCGTTCCCAGGACGAAGAACGAGAGATGGAACTGGAGCGCAACGCTCGCTTCGCGGACTTGGAGGTTGTCGTGGCAAAGTTGGAGCGGGACACGCAGACCTTAGAGCAACGTCTCTCCGCTGCTGGGTCCGAAGCAGAAAGGCATGCCAAAGACTTGCTGTACCTGAGGCAGAGGCAGAAGACACCTGTATTTAAATTGGTGTTTGAAAATCTTTGCATTCACCCCTTCCATTTGCTTCACACAGCTCGTGATTTAATTTGCCAGCATGACCCGGCCCGTTTCATACCCAAGAGTTAGGGTTGAGCTGAGGAAAGGTGAGGAATTCGTGAATGAGTGGTTCAAGAAGAGCTGCTGTCTGGTCCAGGTGGACGACACCTATCAAGGCGCCATTGCGGGTTTTCTTCAGTTTCGAGAACAGTTCCGCGGACGTGTCGGCCAAGAGCCTTTTGGCTTCATCATTTCAATGTTTTGTTACTTGCAACTGCCACCATCTTGCGTGCACTTATTGCCTTTCTTTGCCCGGGGCTCCAGATTTCATGGAGTCTTTTTCTCTTCTGTGCATATTATTATTCTGCTTGGGGCCCGTCGGATCCGAACACTATTGCCATCTCACAGGTGCTTGCCGGACCTGGAGGCCACTTGAAGCCACAGTGAACAGGACCTGTCAAGTGTACAGTGTCTGTCAGAGGTCAGAAAGTGGTATTGTCGCGTGCTTACTACAAAGAAATACAATTGACAGATTCAGCGTTCAAATTACTATGCTAGATTGATGGACCTGCAGATTCTTGCATTTACCACCATAATATTACATGGCTTCTTCACTTCTTTGAATGTGTTTGATGATTGATTGCAGAAAATGACATTTGCTTTTTGTTAGCGCGCGTTTCAGAAAAATACAAGATATGGACATCGCAGAAGAAAGGTCTTAAATTAAAGTGTCAAGGTTAACATTTATTGTGTGTGTGTGTCAGAACGTCTTTAGGCAAATGATGTACCGTACCGAATAGTTCGTGTAAGAATGATGGTACAGGTCAGACAGTAGAAAATTAATGGCGTATTTCTACGAAGTAAGCGAGGCTGACGAGTAAAATATGTCAAAGAGAGATCCAGAGACCCATAGTGATTTCAGATAGTAGAATGGTAGAATCTGGGACGATATGATGCCCCATGGCGGGTTGTGGATCACTCGAAGTAAATCTGTCGTGTCAGCGCTTACTGAAAAGATATTTTCATCCAAGCCACTCGAATACTTCCGAGGTTTGGACTGATTGGCTTTGATGCCACGGTTTGGCCTTCGAATGCAAACATTGTGGTGAATTCAATGAACACCGTTGCGCAGCTGTTGGGCATGAGCTCGTCGCATATGGCTTGGATTCAATATCCTGTCCTGCACGCTGCCACGAACTTGAACGCGATGGTGAAGCATCGCCACCTCCTTGAGATTTCCATGCTGAAGCATTCCATCGCATGCCAGTTCAATGTCCAGATTCTCTATGCGAAGCCAGATGCCAGAGCGAATGACAACAGGAACTTGTCCCAGCCTGCCCTTTGCGGCTTCCACAGCAACTACCAGGAGTCACCGTTAAGATCCTCGAAAGCTGTCGCAGCTGGGACAGCTGGCCCTTGTCCCTTGATCAAGGTCACTGACTTTATCCAATATGATGAGAGCTCTAAGCCAGGACCTGCCATGCGCTGCGAGCAGATGCTAGGCTGTCAGGCCAGGGTTAGGTTTCGATTTCTTCCTTTGATCTTATGGCAAGACGCAGACAGACTGGAGCCAATTGACTGAAGCGAATTGAACTCACGCCCGCGTGGGGAAACGTCATTCATTCATGTTGGAAAATTCCCACATTGCAATAAATTTAAAATTTAGTGTAATTAACCTGAGAATTACAAGTTGCTTATTATTACTATGTTTTTGTTGGTAAACTTCATGATGCTACTGTATTGAGAAGGTGGCAGCCAGCAATATATTTCTTTCAACGTGTTCCATGCATGGCGGCATCTGTTTCTGACATATTCAGCAGAATATCGTTCAACGCAGCGGACGATACACATAGCCTACAAGCTGAGTCTCCAGCCCCTGTGCACCATTCAGGAAAGGGATTCCGTGCCACTTGGCCATGATTGACGGCTTGCTCTCCGGGGTTGAGTTGGCTGACGAAGATCGTGTTCTTTTTGTGGATGTGCTGCCAAACACGTTGATTGGCGCAGTATGGATACATTTTTTATGTCAGTAGGGGGGCAAGGATGCCACTGTTTGCACTCCATGGAAAACGGGCTGCTTAGTTCTATCACTGGTGGCTTTCAAAAGTATTCCACTGCTCACTAAGGTACTGTGAATTTGGACGAGCTTGTGTCCAAAGGGCTTGGGATGGCAGTGGCAAGTCGATTCTGTACATTGGGTTTTGGAGCCAGGAACAATTCAAGAAGAACCAGAAGGCGCTGCGTGAGATTGTGTACCAGGGATGGGACGCCATGCCCGGGTCTCCTCCGCAGAGCCGGCCTTTGGAGGAAAATGAGGCGCAGTCTGCCCCCTCTTTGCAAATCATTGCTTGGCAAAATGGTGCGCCGCACTGGCCAGACTTTTTGGACACCAAGTTTCCCGAAGGGTCTTCCGAGGCGGAGGCGCTTTCGAGAAAGAAGCAGGAGTTCTTGCAGAAGTTCCCCGCCCAGCCAGCGCCACGAACAGGAACCACTGTGCGCCCAGGACGCGCAGGAGGCCACTGTGACTTTTCGATCGATGGTGGTGCCAAGCCTTTGGACATCACGAGGGAGATCCAGCCAGAACAGGTGGGCGAAGCTGACTTCACTGAGAACAGGTACCGGGTTTGGATTTTTTTTTTGCTGTTGGAAGACCAACATGTTTCAAAAATCCGGGGGAAGGCTGTTTCAACTTCAACTTCCGCTTTAAAACCATGGAACCATCTGATAGCTGTCAGGTTGGGTGCGTGTGATGCAAAAGGCAGGCGACCTGCGATTGTGATCACTTCATCCTTTGAAGTGTGGATCGGGAACCCGAGCGGAACGGAGGGAATGAACGTGGAAGCGCAAGAGCTGTTTGGCTTCGGGGTTGGTGACTATGAAGAGCGTGAAGTTCGACGTTTGCTATCACCTCTGTACTGTGCTTTCATTCCTAGTATTTTTGGTTAGCGTGTGGCGTAAGTTTGCCAGCTTAAGGAAGGCAAAGCATGTTGAATTTTGATTTTTGGAACTGACAGGAGATCCTACGAAAGAGAAATTTGGCTTGCCATTTCGGTTGACTTCTGACTTGGACCACATCAGCTACCAGAAGGAGCCTCACGCCCTTTGTCAGTTCCTTCGCCGGTTGGCAACCCAGCGTGGCATGGGGGAGCTCAAGCTGGAAGATCATGTGATTGACACCCGTTTCCACCCAGTTCTTTGGCATGCAAGAAGAATTGGTCATCATACTTGTGTTCTTAAAATTTTGCATTTTCAATTTCTTTTCATGGGATCTGCCACAGCTGGCAGCAGGCGGTAAGTGGACAAGATCCAGTGCCTGTTACGTTCCGCTACAAGATTGCTCCCAAAGAGAATTTTGTCACACACGTCTTCAAGCCAAAGAATGATGGTACTGGCAGAGAGAGCGGCACCAACATGTTCAGGGCTCAGGCTTTGGGAACGGTGTTCCACCAGAACTATGACAAGGTCATTTCGAACAAGAAAGCTGGCGTGGTGTGGGAGGCAAGGCTTTCACCGAAAGGCAAAATCGTTTTACAATGATGTCGCTTAGTATGATGTTGTGAGCAGACCTGCAGTGTGCACTACTGGCAGGTTGATTTCACGTCCTCCCCGCCATCTGTGGTCGTGTCCAAGCCCAAGGTGTACCTTCTTTGCGCTTTGCATTTGCCACCAAAGACATGGGTGAACCTCAGCAAGTAGATGCAAGTAGCCTTTGACGATGCCAGGACATGATTGCCACACACATGTCCTTTTTTCCATGGGAATAGGTTCGGCCATGGGCAAGCCACCAGCTGCGTGATCACGGTCTCATGAAGACTTTGCAATGTAGATGATTATGATGTCAATGGCCGTCCCACATGGATGTGAGTTGTGTCATTTTTCCACTGACACCAGTTGGCTTGACCCGCGGCTTATAGAATAATGGTGTTGCAATGACAAGCATGTCAAGTCAACTCTGCAAGGCGGATGTGGGCCAGAAAGGCCGTCCCACGCCAACGCGATCTCTGAATATAATTTGTTGAACCGCATGTGCTAGTCTCCTAGGGCTTGGTTTAGTTGTTTGATTGTGACAGCATGGTTTCCACTCTGGGAGATCGCGAGGCCTTGTGCAGATTTTGGACTACCCCACAGCCCACTGGCAAGAAGAGTGGGTGTTTCTAGGGGACTTTCGAGAGCTGGCAGTTCGTACCTCTCTAAGACTTGTCGCAGGAACACCAAGAAACAATATAGGATCGCTGCTTTTTTGAATGTTGATGGCCGAGTTGAATCATAAGATGCCACGTCATTTTTGATGGCCTATGATGAGAATTGAATGCGCCGGCTATTCCATGTTCATTTCGTTTTTTGGCGAACAGAAATCATCATTGTCCGTCGTGCATTCAGAGCCACACTGAGGATCCATTCCAAGTTTCCATGTCCAGTGGTTACACGCATCAAGCTTGTTACAGGGTGTTACGTAGTGAGCGCGTCACAGGGTCACCACGGTCACCAGACTCAGACCATGCCAGTGATGACAAGGGTCGACCGCTTGAGTGGCTCCGAGGCGGGGTTTCCACCTATTATTATAGTATTATTGTGTGAAGAAAAGAAAAGCAGCGCAACTTTAACTGTGAATTGGAAGGTTGTCCGCCGTTTTGCTGGCCTATAGTGTATGTCCCTTAAAGTTCACATTGCAGGAGGAGGCGCCGGGTTCTTCGTCAGTCAAGCGGCGAGGTGAGCCTGAAGCGTCGCGCCCAAAGGCAAAAGCGAAGAGCACCCCTGCACCCAAGACTCCGTCCCGTCCGAAGACGAAAGCCCTTTCCTCTCCCAAGTCCAAAGCCGGATCGAAAGCCAAAGCCAAATCAAAGGCTGCTATGAAGCGTCCCGCGGCAGCAGCGTCAGCTGCTGAGTCAGATGCTGCAGCTACTTGCGAACCTGCTGAGCTAGAGGAGCCAGAGGAGTCAGAGGAGCCAGTTGTCATGAAGCGCCCCTCAGCCTTGCGCCGTCCAGCAGCACGTGGAGAAGACGAAGACCCGCCAAATCCACCTGATGGAGATGCAGATGGACCCGCTGCCGTGCCCCGTCGAATCTTGGCCGAGTCACAGCACGCACGTCCCAAATTATTGTTTCCGTTGTCCCACTCACTCAGCTTCAAGATTTGATATGGCTCTGACTATCAGATTTTCTCGCCAAGGAAAGGTTTCAAACCCGTATCTGTATGCAAAGAGCGGCATCTGGGGCATCAAGGTGGATGGCAAACAGGTTGTGACAGTTTCTCGGAAGTTATTGGTTAAACCACAAATTCATCTAATCGAATGAGAGCAGCAGAGAGTTCTCGTGCCGCCCTCAGGTTGGAGGCAAATTTCGCTCGGTGGCCAAATCCAAGGAGATTGCAGACATTTGCGTGCGGGAATTGCGTGGAGGTAAGAGCACTGCAGACGTGAGATCCATGGCAGATTCTTGGCATTGATGTTATGGCATTTGACTGTCAGTATCATTGTGCACACTTCCCACATTATTTTCCATGTTGACGAGTGCAAAATCCATCCGGTTCAGATAGTGAAAGCCAGCAATTACTGTAACATAAGACTTGTTAAATATTATTTCGCAAGAAAATCTTGTGACAGCGCCATGAATCACAATGCACAGCAGCAACTTTGATCTAGAGGGCAGGGGTGGAGGTAGCCAGCCGTGTGACACACACACACACACTTGCTTGCTCAGAACTGTCATTGCGAAATTTGTTTGTGGAATGCATCTTACGTGCAAAAACAATCCCTTTAAATCTGACAGGAGTAGGTCACTGAAAGGATCTGAAAAACAGCGAAGCTGCCATCGCCATAGCCAGCGCTAAAGAGAATGAATTGGAAGCTGACCCTTCCCTTTCAACAAAGCCATATCGCTCCCAGCTTGACAGATTGCGAAAACCGTGCAGATTCAAAGTGACATCAAATTGAAGTCCAAAAGTCCAGGTTGGTTTGAAAGAACTGTTTGAAAAATCGACACGCCGGTTTTTGGCATAGCCGGTTGCCACAAAGTCGGAGAAAAAACAATGCAGGTACAAGTGGTTGACATTGATCAGACCACTCATCCACCGAAATGCCATAGCTTCGTTTGACCGGATAGGCAAATCGGCTCCAGCTCGTCTCATTTCCTCTAGATTTCACAGGTCAGGTTCTCTGTTTTTTCGAGGTGCTTCTCTTGCTGTCCTGTCCTCCTCCGGCTTCCGTGCGTTCCTTTCTTTCACCCTTCGGTCTGTTAGTTGCTGTCTTTAGCAAGACTGCTTCCTTTGTTCCGTTGAAGCGCTATGATTGTTTGTGCTCCTTTCCTGGTTTGTCCTGCCTGCTACACATTGACATGTTCCTGGTTTGAATGTTCTTCACCAAGTTGGTCAGTTTCCCGACGCGCACGCTTCCTTTAGCATTTCACCAAATATAAATGATTTACCCTGCCCCATTGTAAGCTGACGTGTGTTTCTTTACATCTGGCTTCAGAATTCACTTTTGTCAGACCAACACTGAAGAGAATATGAGAAGTGCGAGTCCGCTGCGGCAACCATTGCCATTGTTTTTTCCATCGCAGCTTGAGGCTGCGTTGTTTGCAGAGATTCCCTTGGACCCGTCTCTTGGCCGTGCAGCTACACAAGCCAGAGGTGCGGCTCCAGTGGCGGAAGCCGCAGGCGCAGCTCCAGAGGCAAATGCTGCAGCTGAGGGAGATGGTTTGTCAGCAAGCGAGGATCCTGAAGAGGTGCGCCTCCTTAATGAGGCGCTGGAAGTGAGTGAGGGCCTTGACTTTAACATCGCCGAAGGCGGTGAAGAGGAAGCCAAGGAGACCGATGAGGCCGTTGATGTGTCGTAGTTAACATCGGTCCGGCGACATGCCAGACGGATTTGAAAGACAGATGTAAGCAATGCTTAGCTGTCAACATAGCCGAGCAACTGACAGGTGGAAGACACCAATTTGGCTTGGTGCGACAAAAAAGCGATTGTCAGAATGAGTGTGATTTGACATGCAAGACCCAATTCACAAAGTGTTTACTTTCTGTGCCCACCTCAAAGGTTTGGGAGCTGTGCTAAATATAGTTTTTGAAAGGGACGGGGCCAAGTTCCATTTGGATGCAGCTTCGGAACTTAAACCGTAAGATTGTAACAGGCATCAGGAAAAGGGTCATACTTGGCTAATAAGTACATTTTTACCAAATGAATAGAATCGGTTGTTTCATGGGTTTCTCGGAAGTTTTGACTGGGCTCAAGTGATGGTAACAGTAGATTTATGATAGGCGTCAGTCACTTTGTGAATGTGTGGAAGGCTGCGGTGCAGTGTGCTAGCCAGTCTGAGCCACCACGTCAATCAGCCTTGTGTTGGCTCCTCCCATGCCAGTCACCTTGGCACTGGCCAAAGCACCTTGGCACTGGTCAAAGCACCTTGGCACTGGTCAAAGCACCTTGACACTGGTCAAAGCATAAGGATTGCTCAGTGTGACGTGCCAGCAGTCTGATACTACTACTGTGATGAAAGACCTCTGTGCAGCTTTGAATCATTACTGCTGCGTTGCCTTCCAGTCAGGATGCAGTCTGAAATGCCTCTTAGGTCTGAGTTTTGAGGACCCCATATTTTGAGGACCCCATTCAATCTGAGGACCCCATTCAAAGGAAATTTTGTTTTTTGTCCAATGGTCCGCGTCTCCTCCATGCAATAGATCATCCGTGGCCACGCTGATCACACCCTTGAGCTTAGACACGTCGTCATCGTCAGTCAAATAGAAAAGGCATGGATCTCCGGCACTTTGTCGATAACCAAGTTGTTTCGTCAGGATCCGGAGGAGATGTTGGTACCAGGCATAGGGACCATCAAGCAGTCCATAGCAAGTCTTCTTCAATTTCAAGAGTTGCCTCGGTAAATATCCAGGTAGAGGACATTCGGAAGGTTGGGAAGCATAGACTTCTCGGTTGATCTCGTCACCACTGTGAAAAGCCTGAGTGAAGTCTAAGTATCCCGGCAACCAGGCCATGCTACAGATCAACTGCAGGGTGCATAGAACTGTGTCCCTTGCACATTGAGGTGTTGTAGTTTCCAGCTCTTCGGCATTGGTCTCACTGAAGCCCTTCATAACATGTCGAGCTTTTGCCTTTGTACTTTCGTTTCCCTTCTCCTTCAGAAGTACACCAGCCTTCTTGGCTGCTGGGATATCATCCTCCTCGATGTTCTTCTCCGTCAAGACAAAACGTGATTTCACTATCTTGTCGCCAGCAGTGCGTCGTACTTCTTCCGATGTCGTAGGGTCCAAGACTTCATAGGCATTGGTTTCCAAGTTGTTACGGACCTCCTTCTTGATGGCCTCGATGAATTGTTGCTTTTGATCCTTGGGAATATGTTGGAATTGGACCTCTTTCTTCATCTTGGCCTGCAGCATCCTCTCGACGCTCGTCATGTAAGTGTCCAAGAACCGTATTCTCAGTCTCTTTGCGTCCGGCTCATCATTCTCCAGGGTCTCGTCATTCTCAATCGTCTCCTCATCGACAACCTCCCGTGGTCGAACTTCTCCATGTCGGATCTCGTCCTCGATGAAGTCGGGCTCGTACTCGTCATTCTCCTCCACGGGAAGTCCTCCGGCTGGATGCTCCGATGCTTCACCCTCGGCAATTCGTGATCTTTTTCGATCACGTTCTTCTTCATGGGGTGTGGCCGCATGTTTCTCCGCCGTCTTGGAGATCTCAAATTCGGTACGACCAGTCCATGGTGTCATCACATCCATAGTGATGTGCTCCTGCCAGTTGTCGGTCTTATTGAACTCCCTTCCAGTGTTCACAAACTTGCCATAGGTTCTCCGCATCGGTGTCAGTCTCTCCATCTCCACTGGACAGTCGGCTGAAGCTTCATTGGGATCAAATAGCCAATCTCGAGGTTGTTGATGTATTTTAACCACCAATCCCAGTCGCTCGTCCATCACCCATGTATCTTCCAACTGATCGTCCTTGTAGATGACCTGTCGGTGATCTCTTTTTCCAACTAGGCGATATTGAGGAGCTCGTCCGTGTTCTTGATCTGGTAGTGCCTCGCCTTCTCCAGGATCATCTTCAAGAGGGAAAGGTTCCTTGGTCAAATCGATGTATCCTTGTCGTGGTTGTTGTTCCAACTCCTGCCGTGTGTTGGCGATATCATCGATCCATTTGGTCAGGGTGAACTGTTCCTCCTCACTCGCCAATCTCAATTGTTCGGGTGCTGCCTTGACCACGTAGCCTCTGAAGTTCACCCAAACGGTACTAGGTGGTGAAGTAAGTACCACCCGGGCAGGTCCTCGCCAATAGCCAGGTCGGTCACGCTTGGCCCCCTCCATCCCCTTTCTCCAAAAATAAACGGTCTGGCCCACCTCGAAGTCAATATGCTTCCGGTGGCCTGCATGGATGGAGTTCTTGATTGCTTGTTGACAATCTGCCTCATGGAAGGCTTTCGCTGCTGCCAGTCTCATCTCGTTGGCCTTTTGAACTTGTAAATCTCCTCCACTGAGACTTCGGGTAGAGTGGTCGTTAGCTCCTCCTGTCAGAAGACCACCTGGTATGCGAGGATTAAAACCTAATACTCGCTGTACTGGACTGTAGCCTGACTTGTTGATCAGCCTGTTGCACATCATATTGGCCACATCGACAAGGAGATTCCAATCTTCTTCTGTTTGGCACGTGTAATGCATCATCGCCTTACTGAGTACCTCCTTGTAGGACTTCCCAGCACGCTCGGTGATTCCTCTCTGAGTTGGCATCTCCAGGGCACTTGGTTCAAATATCGTAGCATCATGTTCAGCGCCCATTTCGAAGGCGCCCAGGAACTCTCTGCCCAGATCCACATAGACTCTGGTTGGTGGCCCAAAGAATTTGATCCATTGTGCATATGCTCGTCGGGCCTCACTTGGTGTGTGACTTCGAAGTGGGATGATCATCTGAAACCTCGATGACCAATCGACTATATTCAGGGCCATCCGTGTCTTGCCCTCCAGAAAGGGCAAGAAGACCGTGTCCACCCCGACAATCTCATTCACATGCAACTGTTTCGGTGGTGCTCCTCTTCGAGCGGGGTGTACTGCTGCATGTTGTTGACACACCGAACATTTCAAATTCCGAGCTAGCCGTACTGCTTCCTCAGATGCCTTGGCATTCTTCAAGATCCGAACCAGCCTGTCGTTACCTGGATGTCCAAGTCCTTCATGAGCTCTCCGTACAAGTTGAGCGACAGAAAAAGGTCGTTCTCGAGGAAGTCGGCCGCCACGTTCTGAATCATCTCGTTGATCCGCATCATGACCAGGTAGTACAGCTGGTGGAAGGTCTCCCTCACGAACTAATTCTTGAGGACCTCCAGGTTCTGAATCAGGTGCTGGTAAATCAGCTGTGTCCTCCATGGCATTCTCAGGATCATTCTCCTCATCCCCGACGTAGATCTCGTTTGGCTCGTAGAGCTCCATCATCTCCACGATAGTCTGATGTCGTTGTTGACCTTGACACCAGTCTCGATGTACTTCATCTGTGGTGATCACTTGGATTTCTGCTCCTTGAAGTTGCTGTCGGTATCCTCGAAGGATGGCGTTGACCATTCGAGGCGGATATTCTTGGGCTTGCTGAGCTCGACTACCTCCACAGTTGGAACCCAAAATGAGTTCATGTTCATGGTCTCCTCGGCAGCGGTGTTCAAGTTCTCGGGCAATCGAAGGCGAATTGGTCAAAAAGCCTGTTGGCTTCTTATGGAACCCACCGGTTACCGATTTCAGACCGAAGTAGCACTGATCAGTTGCCACCAACAGCACGTCATCGAGATCCATGAGCTGTTGCATTTCATGTTCTAACCAAGCTCTGGAAGTCAGGGGATGCTCGAACACAAAGGAGCCACCATACGCACGTACTAGGAGAGTGGCCTTGACAGCGAATTTTAAAAGTCTTCTGGCATCACGGAGTCGTTTCAAAAACCTCCTAGTTTTGCGATGATTATTCATGTTCTGCATTAACGAGAAGAGAGTGCAGGGCGGCGAGACGATCACAAGACCTGGTTGAACCTGGTTCAAATACCTCAGTACCTCAGTCTGGAATTCCGGTTTCAGCAAGTCATGTCCTAGTGTCAAATCAAATGCTGCACCCTTGATCAGTCCAACCTTTTTAGCCTGTTTCCCAAATCTTTCGGGGTTATACACTTCAGCCACAGTTTTCATGCTGTTCCGATCCCTACCCAAGAGACTGCCATATTTGTACATTGCCTTGCGGTTCGTAACCCTAGTCTGATCCTTTGGATCCACAGCAGCTGTCCAAAAGTTTTGCCAACCCCGCTCTTCGAGTTGGCTAGGTTCTGTACAGATCAAGTTCATAAGTTCCTTCCATACTTCTTCAGCACTAGAGAGAGCGGCTCTTGCTTGGCAAGTGACTCGGTTCAGTCTCTTGATCTTCCTTCCACTCGTTGGTTTGGACAGATGGCGGAACTCTTCCTCCGTCAGACCTACTTCTTCGAAGATTTGGACCCTGCCGACTGACCCTTCTGCCAGCGGCGGAACTCCTGGAACTCTGCAAACTCCTCCAGGTCCTGGGTTGTCAGGGCTGGGCTCTTCGTGATCCGTTCGTTCTCGCTCTCGGACTTCTCCACCTTCTCCTTCAACAGAATCTTGCCGCAGTCCACGCAGGTCACACGGCGTTCCTTGCCGTTGCTTCCCGATTTCCGGGTCTTCAGATGGGGACAGGTAGGTGCCCTCGACGTGGAACTGGCCGTTGACGTAGTCCCGGGACTCCTTGGTGCCGATGCGCTCGCTGACCCCCTCGTCGGCGATCTCCACACTCCTCGTAGTTGATCGGGTTCTGGTTCTGTGGGCCACATCGGTTGATACAGCGTCCATGCAAAGTAAGGGCATTGATCCTGACGATCCTGCGGGCATCGCCAGAATGTCCGACCAAAGTTCGGACCCTGCTTCCGGGTCACGTACAACTTGGCTTGTTGTCCGTGTTGACAATTCGGTGGAACCCCCATCATTATAGTCGTCCTCCGTCAAGTAGTTGTTGGCCTCCGACCTCTGGCTCGGTGCAGGTGATCCCGGGGATGGTGTCACCGATGAGAACCTCTGGGATAGGTGCTCTGTCTCCTCGTCGATCACCTGGAAGCTGCCCACGCTCTCCACGTCGGAAAACCCCCCCTCCGGAATCTTGGAGAGGGGCCACACTGAGAATGGTGCCTTGCGAGGCTTGGGGAACACGAGGTTGATGGTCAGACTGGTCACCTGTGCCATCACCAGGAAGATCTTGAGGATCAATCGGCGCCACGCCTGCATCGGTTCGTGAGCCTCGTTGTCGGTCACCCGGGCCCTCTTGGGGTTGCTGCGAGACTCCATGGCTGGTACTATGCGGTTCACGCTGATCACAAGGGTCCGGGCAGTCAGGTCCAGGTTCGCTTGGGCCAGAGTTCTCTCCGGTCTCGACGGTCGTTTTGAGGACCTCAAATTCTTGATGATGTGCCTTCAACTGTTCCTGAGCCTGCATGACACATGACAAGTTTTCCTTAGTGAACTGTGACAAAGGAACCCTTAATGCCCCAGTGGGCCCCAAATGACACCTTACGGTGAACCCGAACTTCTTAAAATGAATCCGAAGACCTTTGCTGGGGTCAAGATGCAATATGGCCTGACAGTGCAATAAAAAGGGAAGGGAAATCAAAAATGGAGCAGTACGAGATTCCTTACTTTCGAACACTGCTGGTCTCAGAAGGCTTCCACGGTTACCCAAACTGGTAGGGATCACGGCAACATAGTTTGTCTTAGAGGTTCCATGAACTGACCGAAAACGATGTTCTTGAGGAACTAGATGAGTTTGTAAACCCTCTGGCAAGGCATCGTTCATCTTCTGGAGGGTTTCCAAACCGATCGCCATACGTTGGCACCCTGTGTCAATGGTGGCGCACAGTTCGTCCTTTGGTGTTTCGGGGAGTTCCTCATGGTTGCGATTATTACTCCAATAAATCTCATTAACAACTTCATTTCTCCGTTGACATTCCCCAACACAATCATCCAACCCAATAACAACGGGGTCACCAACAAAACTACCAACATCACCAACCTCCCGGCGGCCCTTATAGGCTTGCTCAAAAATTGACTGTACTGATCCACTGTCAGTGTTCACACTGACCTGTACAGTCTCAAACTGGGTCGGATCAAAATGATCCTTGTCAAAAGATGCCGGGCTCTCAGGGCTGGAAGTTCTGGCGGTTGCCAAATGGCTCACATGTGATTCTCCAGGGTCTTCGAGAAGTCCACAGAAGATGCTTCTTCCGACTCAAGCAGATTCACCTCCTTGGTCTTGTTGACATTGCTGTTGGATCCCTGATTTTTGGGACATTCAGGGTCCTTATGCCAATGGCCAATCTGATGGCACTTGGCACATCGGGACTTCGCCTTTGCTTCGCTCAAAGACATCCTGTAGAAACCTCCTTTGACATAGCCAGTCGTGGACATAGAGCTCTGAGATCTCGGTCCACCTTGGCCTCCACCACGCCATTGGCCATAGCCCCTTGCTAGGTTCTTTGCCTTCTTCGTCCGAAGACTCTGCATGAACGTCTTCTTCTTCTGACTCAACATGGTGCTCAGCACCTCCTTTGCCTCGTGCTCGTCCATGATGTCGTCCTCCTCAGCGGTCTCGGTGTACACGGAGTAGTCGTCTCCATCTTGTCCAGGATGTAGTTCTCGCCAAAGTTCCTCAATGGCCAAGATCTCGTCCTCCTCGAGCTCTTCCTCTTCCGTGCTCAAGTTCATGACTGAGCTGGCTTTCGAAGCTGTCAGTGCCTTGCTCTTGTCGGCACCTACATCTTTTGCAAGAAGTTTCATCTCGTGCTTCCTGCACCAACTCTTCACATCTCGAACCAAGATGGACCCCTGTGTGAAGGCCATCATAGATTTGATCTCGTTGTCGGAGATGTTGAGCGCGTTGATCAGCAAGAAGCCCAGGTACTTCTCCGGCAAGTTGACATGGTGCTCCTGGATCTTCCTGACCGCGTCATCGAACTTGGTGAAGAAGGTCCTGCAACCCTCGTCCTTCTGGCGCCTCAGGTGGTATGTTAACCGAGCTAGCGAAGACAAAAGTTCTTCTTCTCGATCTTCTCCAAACAGCTCCGGAGTATCCATCACCTCCAGCAGCTTGTACCCATTTTTCTCATCTTTCAACCATGACTGGTCCTTGGCATAGTGCTTCAGCGACTGAAAGGGCTGGCCTGACAACTTCTGGAGAATCATCGGGCCTTGGGAGCGAGGCTTCACCCTCGTTGTCGCTAGCCACAACCGTGCCTTTATCAACCAGTCTTGGAACGTAGTTGAAAGGCCGTCCCACTCGGGTGGTGGCTGACCTCCACCAGATCCCCGACCATTCCCTGTCGGGCTCCGATCACCATCACTCGCATCCTCTGGCTCCTGCCGTCGTGACCGTCGTCCTCGATCACCTTCAGAGCCATAGTAACTAGACCGGCGAGCTCGCCGCTGCTGCAGCCACTCGCGAAACTCCTCAGAGTCAAACTCGTCCTCCTGAGCACGAGCTTCACCGGCAGCTCGACCAGGAGGTGCATCATCGTCACCACCACCTTCCCCGTCAAGGGAACCATGTGAAGACGGCAACGTCGCCATCACCTACAACCTACAAGGTCCACAGGAGCTTGGAGCTCCGCCTACCACTGTAAACGAACCCACGGTGCGCGCATCTTTTTGGCGCAATCCCAAGGCCCACATTGAGCCGTCATGTACTGCAGTGGAACACATCCACAAAGGACCTGAAGCCAGGCCAGTCACCACCAATTCACAGATTCATATGGGTTCCCTTGTTGGCTAAAAGATCCCATGTTTGCAGTTTCCACCAGCATTGCTCCAATCAGCCTCAACAGATCTCCGCAACGGGACGGCGCTTCCATTGGGAACGGGACGGCGAGGTGTCGTTGACTGTTTCGAAGGAGAGCCTCTTTTACGAGACCCTTGGCCGCCGCATGTTTGTGAGAGAGACATACTTTGAGGCTCTTTGAGGTCACTTATTTCTTGTGTAAACCGTTCGAGACTTGGGTTTGGTTGTTTGGGCTACTTTTCTAACCAGGAATCGAAGCATAGACGATGTGCTAGAAAAGACATGATAAGGCAGATGATTTTGCCAGGCTTTCGTTGTGTACAAGGTGAGGCCCACCAGATATGAGTTGGCGTTTCACAGCCCATACACTATAGTTAGAGCCATAAACCCACAGTTGTGTTCGCCAACTTAGCTATCGTTGAGGGGCCCGACCTTTGTGATTGTTGGTGGTCTTCCTCCTGTTGACTGTAAGACTGTAAGATACCGTAAGCTTCCTGGTTTCAACTTCAGCCCCGGACTTGAGACCTTGAGACGGGCGAATTTTGGCGATCTTGAGAGGATGTCTGTTGGCTTTGCCCCCGAAACGGAATCAAATGGTTGAATTGCATGGGATGATGCAGTTGAAGTTGCGATCTATGACTGTTTGATTGGTACAAGGGTCCCCCCAGGTCCAAGTTGCTTTCCAACCCCCTTGAACTATTCGCCTCTAAGGTGTCTCAGGATCATAATCTCGCCAGCTGTGTCCCCCGAGTTGTTGATACACAGCAAGAAAAATCAAACAGCGGAAACATATGGCAGTGTGTCAAAACCTGGTACCCCTAGTGAACATCAAAATAGCTGGTAAATGGATGTTCATCCCACTAAAAATGGTATTAATAGGATTTAATAGGTATTGATCCATACCCATATCATCATATTTTGAAATTGTTCATTAGGCGTCAAGCCCCAAACGGCTATTTTGGATGTGTAGAAAAGGATTAGGTCCCTGAGAAGATTCTGGATTCAATTTCTACCTGAGCTTGTTGAGGCATTAGCAAGAGAAAAATACCATGTTAAGACATTCATGTTCCAAAGAATTACATTCAAAATAATCTAGAATTTTACATCCGTGGCCTTCCCAACATTTAAACAACCAACGTTTTTTCCCGTTGCGAGGACGGCGCCGTGCTCGAAGCAATATGGGATTTCCTGGACTACCACCAATGACAGAACCACGATATTTGGCCGCCTGAAGTCTATGAGTGGTTTTGGTGTAGCGGTGAAGGTTCCCAAATGCTCTCAAAAATATGTCGAATACAATGTTGAAGACGCGGAACCGAAACCAGTGAGATCACATTATGAATTTTGCAATGTATGAAAACCTTGCTAAAGGGAAAGGTCACATGGAAAGCAGGTCGGATCAAAACTGCATAGATCTGCACGCTGAAAAAATATGGACAAACTTTCAGCATGCCTGCACTTGTATAATGTAGTGTTTTATCATATTCATAATGTGAGTTTTTTATGTTACATGTTTTAAAACTATTATATATAGTATCTACTCTGCGTCACGATATTATTCGTATGTAGGTTTATATTATATGATCCTTGAGCTTCCATATCCCAAGAAAAAGAGGGTTTTGCAAAATATCCCACTTTTCAGAGTGAACACCCAGTTTTCCTTTGGCTGCATCGTCGGCGGCTTTTGACGCTGGGTTGCTGACGGGTTTTTACGGGATATTTAAGCGTTTTTACAGGATATTTACGGGTTTTCGACGGGTTAGCAAAACCAGGTTTTCCTCCAAAAGCATGTTTTCGGTGCCCAAACCTTTTTTGTTCCTGGGTTTTGGCTCGAAAATCTAGTTTTTGTCCCGCAACCCACTTTTTTCCAGGATATATACTATATTAAATGTATTTATCAGCTGGTGAGAATGTGCCAGTACTTTTTCAGCCTTTCATCGTTCCGTAATTGCAAGCTGCGTCTCTTTTTTGTTCGCATCACAAGCACCTCCTATAGGCCTGCTTCTTCCTATAGTCGTTCCCCTTTTTCGGAACTTCGCCCCCGGCGCGTACTTACCCATTTAAGAATGGCTACTTGGAGGGTCTGGTTTAGAATCGGGCGGTCCTGCCCAGGTTCAGCCTTGAACTTTGGCCAGACGCTGCTGTACGACACCAGCGACCTCGCAAACCCCAAGATGGTCGTACCTGGAAGAACTGAGCAGTGCGTCGTTTCATGTGTATGTAAACTGTCAACACATGGAGTGGATATAAGTGATAAATGATGATTGGTTATGATTGTTTCAGGGGATTATACTGCCATCATACCAGTAGTACCGCACAAGGCGGTGGCGGAAGTTTCAAAAAGATGAAGCCTATAGGAGAGGTTGGCTGTTGCAACTCACGGATGGCAGATCGAATCCACTGATGAACCGAAAGGTGGTTGAACTATTCTCTCTTTCTCTCTCTTTCTCTCTTTTTCTCTCTCTTTCTCTGACTATCTACCTACCTACCTACCTACCTATATTTCTTTCTATCTATCTATCTATCTGTCTGTCTGTCTGTCTGTCTAGCTATCCATCTATCCATCTATCCATCTAT